GACACAGGGACGGACACACGGACGGACACACGGAAGGGTCTGGCTATGGAGAAGCAGGAGGGAAGCGCCTGCTCTACCCACGCCCCGGGAGAAGGGGCCGGTTGTGCGGGAGCCACGCCTGCAGGGGCAGGGCGGTTTGGCCGCTGCCACGGTGGCCACGAGCCCCGGGCCCGGCGGGCACCCGGTACAGCCCGGCCCCGTCTCCCCGTGGCAGCAGCGGGAGCCGTGGCTGTTACATACGGACAGGCTGAGCTGCGGGGCCGCCCCGGCCGCCAGCCGGGCTCTGCTGCTCGCCAGAGTCTGCAGGACTGGACCAGAGGCGCGGCGCAAAGAGAACACAGAGGTTAGAGAGGGGACAGCGACACCCCTGTCACTGCTGGGGCAGCACGGAGCGTGGGCACGGAGAAACAGTGTCCTGGTGGTGGTTAAAGTGAGCTGCCCACATGGCCCTGCTCGGGGGAAAGCGCCCGACACGGACAGGACGGAGGGACCCGCGTTACCTTCTCGGGTGACGGTGGAAGCCGCGTCCAGGGCCTTGGTGCTGATGTCACTGATCACGTTGTCCACGGCCTCGTGGTGCTTGAGGAAGCAGGGCCGGATGATGCTGTGGTAGATCACCTGTGAGCCGTTCCAGGGCACGGGGGCCATGCACCACACCAGGAACAGGCACTGCAGGGACAACAGGGGCTCAGCTGGAGGGTGGCAGGGCAGGGGCCGAGCTGCTCCAGTGCCCCCCCAGCCTGGTCCAGCGGCAGCTTCCGAGGCTGGAGCTCATTGGATGTACCAGGATCTGAGCTGACTGCAGCCCCACCACGGCCCCACGGGGCAGAGCCCACCACAGTCAGCCCCTCCACGTTCAGCCCTTGGACTCTCTCCCTGGCACAGGCATTACCTTCCCAGCGTAGTAGAAGGGGAACCAGTAGAGGAAGAGGTCGGAGAAGGACTCGGCGATGCAGAAGACGCCGTACACCACCCAGTACGTGAGCCACATGGTGTCATCCTCCTTGCTGCTGCTCTCGATGGCCTTGATGCTGTGACAGGAGAGGGGAAGGGCACAGCTGCTGCAGTCCTGGGGTGGGCTCCTCCTTCCCAAATCCTCCAAACCCTGGGGCAAACCTTCCCGCCCCAAGCTGGCACGGTCTCAGCCTTTCCGGGAAGGCCTCAAGAGCTTCCCAGCCATAATTGCCTCTTCACTGAGCAGGGAGACCCTCAGCCAAGGGCAGGGAATGCTCTCCAGGTGCTGCAGGGGGTGGGACAGGTACTCACGAGACGTAGGCGGGGTAGGCGAAGCCGATGAGGTTGCAGAGCAATGAGGCGCCGTAGCCGAACATGAGGTACAGCCCCAGGAAGGCCACGGAACCTGCCGGGGGACAGGGGACGGTCACGAACCCGCCACCAGCAGGGAGAGACCCCTCCCAGGCTGCTGAGCAGGACTCTCATCCCAGGGCGGGAAGAGGCGCATTCCAGGACCCCCGAGATGGGGGTAACGACCACCCCCAATTAACTCCAGCACGACAGGGCGCTGAGTCACGTGGCAGGGTCTGCTCCTCCCCGAGCGCCCCACGACCTGCCCCTGTCACTGTTTGTCCCCTCCCTGGCCCTGGAAGGGACTTTACCACAGAGCTGTCAGCACTTTCACCCTGTCGCCAGCCTGGAGCAAGGCCAGGGCCGCGGCACCGCCGGAACCGGGGACACCGGCACACACCGGCACACCCACGGTCCAAAGTCA